CGAGATTCTGAGACTTATTCGTTCGATGCCGAGGCGATGCCGTGCAGTTCTGGATGCCCACGGTAGTCACACGAGGTATTGACTTCAGCGCCACCACACGTCTCCATGTGACACTCAACCTGACTTTCCTCGAGTTGGTGCCAAAGACGGATACGTCTGCATTCCCAGTGTGCAATTTCGCTATATTCATTGACTCATAAAGCCTACAAGATGTTTCAAAATAAACATAAAAATACAGTTGAAATTCCTATATGCGTTTCTTTTTTTGGAGAGTATATATATTATTTTGCATTAAAAAATCATCTCATCAATGCACGTTCCATTAAACAATAAATTATCATCAATATTTACATTTACACCAGATATAGATTTGAACACATTGATTTACATAATTGTACATTCACGCGAGTCTGAAGCAAACCATTTCTGGCGGTACGAGGCGACTACAGGAATCGGTTGGTGAAACTCGACGCATTTCCTGGTGCTACTGAGACGGCGTGGATCGTTACATATAGAATCAATCACTGGTTTGGCTGGTCCAGACTCAACTATTGTCAGATCACAGCTGGAATATTTCTGAGTGATACGTTAAGTTTAAAGCAATTTGAACAGTATCTCAGTTACAGCATGGCATGTCAGCTTGGAAAACTCGGTAGGAGGAAAACTCGGTGTGATGCAGATCATAGACAATTACCACTTACATACACCCAACGAACATTGGCCTGGTACTGACAAACCAAGAAAACTAAAAACGGGATTCAAACCTTCGATCATCGATTTCTGGCTGGTTTGTATTCGAGCCCAAGGCACATAGTTATGCATCGAATTGTGGCACCTTAGACGATTGGGTCAGAGATACATAAACAACAAACAAAACAAATATCTACACTTACATGACAAAGATGATCTCTGTAAAGGGATGAGTCTGATTGTGATAAATAATTAGATAAGAAGAAAAAGGAATATGAAACGGGAATAATGCTATCTACACGATAACCCAGAATACAAATCAAGAGAATTACCTCAGTTTTACTGCTGGCGTCAACATTTTCCGTGCACTGATACGATATATTTTGTCATGTAATAGGTACATGTCTTGACAGTGTAAAGCCAAAGAATAAACGCGGTATGCCTTTTGGTCATTTACTTATAAAATGTCAGGTGGATACTTCTTTCACTGTTTACAAACAAATATGACGCTAACCACCTTGCCTATCGACAATAGAGTCAGAATTGACGAAAAGGGAATCTGATCAAACTATCTCTGACCCAAAAAACAAAATAAAGGACCGTTCATAATTTATGGCGGGGTGTGTGGTGGGGTGGGGTTTTGGAGTTGTGATGATTTTTATGGAGAAGCATGTACAATATGAATGAACCCCTTCCCCCCTAAAATTTATGTACAAAATAAGTGACCCCCCTGCATGTCATGTACAAAATCAATGAACCACCACCCTTCCCATGATTTCTAAGCACAATTTCATACATATATTTATGTACAAAATTGGTGCCCCCAGTACGTGTGTACAAAATTGATGACCCCCTAGCTCCCCAGAACAAAATGGGTGACCCCCTTAAAATCATCACCCCAACCCAACCCCCGCCATAAATTAATGTGGCAGGACAGATAGAGAGAGTGTGTTTTGTGTGTGTGTGATATGATGATGAAACTTTTTGTACCATGTGAATGACCTCCCCCCTAAACTGTATGTACAAAGTAAGAGGCCACCCTGCATGTCATGTACAAAATCAATGACGCCACCCCACCCCACCCCCACCGCCTTACACACACATTTTACCGTAATTTTTAAGCATAATATATAAATATTTGCACGTACAAAAAGGGATGACCCCTAGTGCATGTGTACAAAATTGCTGACACCCCACCCACCCCCATCCCTCCCGTTTAAACCATCATACCTCCAAACACCCCACCCACCTACCCCACACACACCCAAGCCAGAAATTATGAACGATCCCAAACGAAAATCAGTATACTTAAATCGCATAGGCAATTTTGGTGACAGACATTGCGGAGAGATTTATGGACGACGATTGGGATACTAGTTCCCATAACTGTGCTTGTAGGCCTTTGTACCTAAGGGTCATTTCTCGAATTAAAAACAGTTGGCTTTGGCCGAAATGTTTATTTTGCTCATGCAGACATGAAACACACGTGATCAGGACACCTCCTTGACTATTGGGTAGGTGGGGTAGCCTAGTGGTTAAAGCGTTCGCTCGTCACTGCGAAGACCCGGGTTCGATTCCCCACATGGGTACAATGTGTGAAGCCCATTTCTGGTGTCCTCCGCCGTGATATTGCTGGAATATTGCAAAAAGCGGCGTAAAACTCAACTCTTTCCTCTTATCATGAGTAACTCTGACAAAGCACAATTACTGTAGCGGGTGGATTGATGCGAGAGTCGATCACTGTGATTGAAAAAATTGTGTCTGGGTAATTGTCTTTTGTACTCATCAAATTTCAGTCGGAACTATACTGACATGTTACTGCCCGACCGACCAATCCCTGACCTAGTGACCTAATAGATTAATGCGCACATCCTAGCATTAGTTGCGAGGTTGAGGATATCGTTTGTGAGACGCATGGATATTTTTCAACAATATGAAGACATTATACGATAAAGAAGTTACAACGCTGGAGTGTATGACATGGTTTATTGTCTTTGTCAGAAATAAACACTTTGTATTTAACTCGACATGGTTTCCTTAACACCATGTCTGTTCATAAATAGGATATTTACTTTCTAAAAACACACTCGTGTGATGAGTCGTTTTCTGTAGACTTACCATACAAGTGTACATTTAGCTAATGAAATGTTCATTTGAGAATGTGTGCAATGATGGTTTATGAACATTAATGAAAGTTTTACGTTAGTTTACGAAAACATAAAGAACCGAAGGTTCCTACTTGAGAAAGGTGGATAACGCTACAGAAGTAGTTGTTGTTTAACATTTTGATATTTTAATGTAATTAGTTCAAATATATCCAAATTGGAATATCTGTTTATGGTTGAGGACCATTTGTAATATTTTTTTAATTAATTATTTGGAGCCTCAGAGTTTGCTTCTTTTTTTCTATAAAATTTAAGATTCAACCATTTAACTGTGTTAAGAAGAGCAAACGGAAACACCTGCACAACAATGACGGTGTGTTGACAGTCACGCGACCTGTCGTATTTACGATCTTTGCGACAGGCATCTGTTAAAATATTGATTAACTATGAATTCTTGAATTTCCATTTTATATCTAGGTCTTACATACCCCCAATTATGATTACTCCTGTGCTGACTCCCCCAAATCTCGCCCAGTTCCACACACCTGGCGGTGTTGATGAAATGTGCCCGTGATAAGATGGTCATCCCAGCCCTGTGGCCCTGAATGTAGACATCGCCATCTATCACATCAAAGACATGGACAATTTGGAGTAACTCCACCCCTACTGACCTCTCTAATTGGACACACACCAGATACATCAGTGTGGACAGACACTAAGTTGGAAGTCCGCTTTACATCACTGTGATGGAGTGTAATGAGATTTAATTAGCAAGCCTGTGTCGAGTGATCTTTAACGCTGAACAGCAACACCACTACCTAGGCAATATCAGAAGAAACATACGATGTTATATCCTGTGCATTTGGTTCCAAATAAATTAATTATCAAAAATATATTCTTTGTTACATCCACAGAGAAAAGACACCATAAGCAGGGATTTATTCTGAGTGTTACATATATCACAATAGCTTGTTAGTGTGTTGGCGTTCGCATTTGGGTTGTATTGAAAAGATGCATCCCTATTTTATATACGTTGTTAGAGTTCCTTGAAACGTTATAAGTTAAATGACGAGACTGGACACTCGTCCACTCGCTCTAGTAGAAAGTAAGCCTTTTCGTAGCTTATCTAAAAGTCATTATGATTCCCACAACTGTCCGTCGTTTTTCACGTAAATCAGACATATTACACGGTTGATTTTAAGGAAAATGACGCTGGAAGTTAAGAGGTTCGATGTACAGTAGAGTGGTAGGTATTCGTCACACTTCTTTAAATAACTAACTGGGAGGAATTTGCACTAACAGAAATACGTCTCAAACGAACCATTTCGGGCTTATTACGGTATGTGACAATGACTCGGTCGTGTACACCGTGAATAAATATGGCGTTCGTCATGACCAAAGCATTCTGAAATATTGACATATACATGCAACAGTTGATCCGAACATACATTTATGGCGACTGCATATGTATTTTACCAATACAGATGGAAATGCATTCGATGATTTACTATTTTATTAAGAAAACTTTCAAGACAGTTATAGAATATAGCGCTCGCGACACCCACACCATGATGAATACATCCGCACACCTTGGCAAGAGGCATAGCTTCATGCAAGTGGACAATCTGGATTTGTGTTCACTGCCGCCATTTTTATATGAAATCCCAATCGCATGGATGGAAAAGCATATTTCCGTTTCTTGAACATAAATCTCAATTACATGGGTATTAAACCTACCCATAAATCAAACATCAATAATACACCCCATCAATCCTTGCTTAGACAGGTTGTGTCTCCTTTACATTTAAATAAAGCATGCAGCTTGGTAAGGAAAGTGCACATGATTACCTATTTACACACAAACTTTGTATTGTGTCTTCTCTACATCAGTAACTCGATATACAATTGCCAGAATACGTAAACTTAACCTAAACATAGGAACGGGATCTTAAAGATGGATCTTCTCAGGATCTTTATCTATCTTGAAAACCTTTACTCTCGGTGTGGGCAACGTATCACATATGGACGCAAAGGCCACAACTAAACTGTCATCAAATAAGACACACTCATTTGACTGAATTTGGGGTACTGCTCTTCTCGTAAATTTATAAATTAAAAGGTAAGGCATCTTCAGATGTATTATGATAACATGATTTTACTGGAAATTGATAACGAGTCGGATCTGACGAGAGCGATGAGCCCTACCTGAATGGCAGTCCTTCCAAAGCTATTTCTCCCATTGACATCCACTCCTGTACGGAGGATGTCTCGCACTTTGGCCAGATCGCCATTTGCCGCCGCAGTGGTGAGGTCGTCCACGGTGAATTCCCCACACCTTACTTCACCTTCTTTTGCCATGAGCTATGCCTAACGTCTCATCTGTCCAGTCTCGATGACAACAAAGCATATTTGTAAGCCTGCAAGTAGTCTTCAACTATTGGCTCAACAGAAGAGCTTCGTCCAATAGGAGCTGAAGTTTCTGAAAAGAGGAGGTGGGGTTTACATGGTAATTATGGGCTTTTTGAAAGTGGAAACTGCCATGGTAAGCAATTTCACTGAGTCAGACTAATTCTACTATATGAAACATGTTATCATGATTAACCAACCTTTAACCATGAAGTGTGTGTGCTTCACAAACTAGCTGTGAATTATGTTAAGTAACTGATTGCTGAATACCTCCACACAAACAATGATATTTTGCAATAAAATAGAGTCACGATCCAAACGCTCTTCGATAAGCAAAAGATATCGCAGATTGACACAAGAGGTGGGTGGCCAACCGGCCGGACTCCCGTAGGATGCATACATTGTAAGCTTGGTACACCTCAATGATTTTGTCATATATAAATGATAATAATTAATGCTGCCATGCGAACAATAATATTCTTCAGGAAATTCATTTGATTGTTTGGGGGCATAATAATTTGTTGATATGATCTCAAACACAGTGCTGATTTCAATTCGACATCAGTGATTTCTGATTATAAGAAAGGGAAATGTGTGGATACATATACATGTTATCTATTCTTTTCCAAGGTGGTTTGGAAATGATGTGTATATATATATATATATATATATATATATATATATATATATATATATATATATATATATATATCAAACACAGGCAACATGTATAGTATATACCACTAGGATGCATATTAGCCAATCGAAGTTAAATTTGTAGACACACTTTGTGCCTCATGTGTCTAACATTAATGTCAGTCCAGCCGTCCAAAACATGTGTAGTACAGATACAAGCCTCACCATAACAATTTAATTTTGGAAGATATATGTACACGTGTATTTAAACCAATATTATGGCGCCATTGCAAGAAAAAACATTTACCAAGAAGCGTTGGTTTGGTTTTTTTTCATTTACCCACAGCACCTCTTCAACACTGTAGATCCTCGCCGCTTTAACTAAGGCAAACTGCTTTGTTTTATAAAAGCTAAAACGTACCATGAAAACCTTATAAAATAAGGGATTTCGTACATTAAACATAAAACAATTACTGAGAATAGATGCTAGTAAACTAAACAAACGCAAAAAAAAAATAACTGATTTCCAATTTTCGATATTTGAAAAAAAGAGAAATGGCTATGATATCAAGCTTAAATATTACAAAATATCTTTATCGTATATTTTTTTAATCCGATCCGATATATTACTACAGCATAAATATGAGTGTTATATTTATAAATCCGAACTATGAACATTACTGCATTACAAAGCATAACTGTGTGTAAATCCGCATTATGGACACAACATTACTATGTGTCTTATATTCATGAACATGAAACATTAACACAACAATCTCTTTGTCTTATCTTTATACTCCGAATTATAAATTTATATACGATATAACTATGTGACTTACATGTATAAACACATCATAGAGTGACATTAACACATCATAACTGTGTCTTACATTGTTTTTGAAAAAACACGAAATATTAATCCAACATAACTGTGTGTCATATTTTATACACCTAAAATACACCTGTCGTAAATTCATAAACATGAAATATTTGGCCAACATAACTGCGTGTCTTATAAATCCAACCTATTACCACATAATTGTGTGTCTGATATGTATATCCCCAAATTATCACCTTAACACAATTGTGTCTCAGATCTATAAACATGAAATATTACCACAACATGATTGTCTTATATTGATATATCCGAATAATTTCCATAGCAAAAGGTGTGTTTTATATTTATAAACATGAAATATTACATCATAACTGGGTGCTATATATTTACAAACATGAAATATTACAACATAACTGGGTGTTATATGTTTATAAATATGAAATATTACATCATAACTGGGTGCTATATATTTACAAACATGAAAAATTACACCATATCTGGCTGTTATATATTCACAAACATGAAACTTTGTCTTTGTCTTATCTTTATAATCCGAATTATAAATTTATATAAGATATAACTATGTGTCTTACATGTATAAACACATCATAGAGTGACATTAACACATCATAACTCTGTGTCTTACATTGTTTTTGAAAAAACACAAAATATTTATCCAACATAACTGTGTGTCATATTTTATACACATAAAATACACCTGTCGTAAATGAAATATTTGGCCAACATAACTGCGTGTCTTATATTGATATATCCGAATAATTTCCATAGCAAAAAGGTGTGTTTTATATTTATAAACATGAAATATTACATCATAACTGGGTGCTATATATTTACAAACATTAAATATTACAACATAACTGGGTGTTATATGTTTATAAACATGATATATATTTGATATATAACTGGGTGCTATATGTTTATAAACATGAAATATTACATCATAACTGGGTGCTATATATTTAGAAACATGAAAAATTACACCATATCTGGCTGTTATATATTCACAAACATGAAACTTTACAACATAATTAAGTGATGTATATTTATAACCATGAAATATTACAACATAACTGAGTGCTATATATTCATAAACATGAAATATGAACAAAGCATAACTGTGTGTCTTATATTTATAAATCCAAAATTACACCACGTTGTTTTTCGTATATTAATACAATGTACACCAAAAAGAAAAATATCATTGCTAACGTGATAAAAATATTTTTTTTAAAAGTCTATGATATTTTAATGTATTATGATAATTGTGGTTATAATAACTATGTTTCATCTGTGCGTAATTTATTGTTTTCACATGGATTTGGTGATGTTTGGTTATTTCACGGTGTCGTAATGAATTCGAGTTTCTTCAGATGTTTAAAAGAGTTGAAGTTGACATGTAACCATACAGACATGGAATAGTACAATTGAAGAAAGACCAAGGTACAAGCTGTACAGACAATTCAAAAGTATTTTAGAACCAGAAAAATATTTAACTTTGTTAGCAAATAAAAAACATAGAAATATTCTTACTAGGATCAGAGCGGAAATTTCACAATTGTGAGGTTAATGAGGGACGGTGGTTGGGAGTTGATTTTAATCAACGCATTTGCCCCATATGTAATAAAGGAATAGAAGATGAATTTCATTTTATGCTTATATGTGAATGTTATAATAATCTAAGACAGTGTTATTTGCCACAAATGGACAACGACAATCTGTCTATCATGTCTTCTACATGAATTGAATTATTAAATAATCTTTGTAAATATTTATGTTTGAGCTTGAGCTAAGGCAGCGGCTGGTTAATGGATAATAAATATGTATTTCACCATGCCCCTAATGTTAAATTATGCATGCTTAACTATACGTATTTATAATGTACCTATGCTGTAGTCATCATCGTAATCAGTATATATATTTTTGTATATGGACGGAAGGCCGTCACCCGAAATATAAGACTTGACTTGACATAAATCTAGTGACCAAACGTAACACATCCTTTTAGCATTGTCTGCTAATACTGTTTTGCTGACTGCACAGGCATCTTTCAATATTCCTAATATGTAAGTCAGTAAATGAAATATCGCTCGATACAACAAGCATCTATAATACTTCAATTACTGACGTGTAATCGTTCGTGTTTGTGTACTTTTATGCGACCACTATCAGTTGTAAAATATTCACACACAACGTAAGTATTTAATATAATTTATAACAGTTCATTTCGCGGTGGTATCCCGAAAACATCTATTTCAGTGCGTGAATTAATTTCATTTTGTGTGTGCTCACAATTAAATGTGTGGTCTACTTTATTTTCGTGCAAGGTAAATTTACTATGAATGATATTCTCGAATTTTCTTTTGTTTTTAGTTAGAAACCTATCTCAATTTACGTAAGAACCTCGAACGGTGTCTTTTTGCATAGAATTTAAAATCACAATATAACGAAAATTCTGAAGTGCAACTAGTAGACTGAGTCATAAACATTATAAATCATTTCTATTTCGTATCCATGACGCATACTGCGTGTCTATCACCAACATTTAGTTCTAATGGGAAGTGTCAATTCTAATATCTGGGCAGGATAATTGATAATGTTTTCACCATATAAAGCTCCTGACATGGGATTCGACGACACTAACCTGTATATCGATACATATATTTACTTATATAACCAGTTTGACGGAGAGATTAAATCCAGTTAGTCATTTGTCTTTGTGTCGTAATTTCCAAGACGACGAGGCTAAACCTTTTCGGCCGCACTGCTCATGATTGAAGCTATGAAATGTCAAATCTCATGCACAGTATTTCAGTTAATATGCGTCATTGTTGACATTTCTTGACACGAGAGTACTGAGAAAAATAGCATTAGCTTTCAAAAATGAACAAAAGTTCCAAAATGATTTATCAAACTATGCAAATCTCTAGGCTACCAGGAGATATGATATATAAGATGTCGTGTATGATTGTCTGTCTGAGTGTACACAGAACATGTGTACCTTGTAAAATATCGTACAATCTATATTTCTTACACACCTTAAACAATATCAGCTAAATCTAAACTGCAGAATAAGGTTTCTGTTCAAACCCATTTACCTAATTGTGAAATGCTTACAACTTTAAACGCAGATCGGCAATTAGATAATACACTATGCGTCATGTTATCAATTATTTCAGATAACTAGCAAATTTGGTCGTGTGTGTGTGTCGGCAGAAATAAAAATCTTAATCAATCACTAAATTATCTAACGGAAAGAAGAACCATTTTCAGATTCCATTCCGTGTCGTGTTTCTGTAATCAACAATGTAAATAACGTATATGACGACAAATTGCCATGTATGGTCTGATGTTGCGTGACCGCTTCTGCGCATGTTCCAGCCTCAACATCCAGACTGTTGTTGTGTTATTTCATTATCACTGTTCATTGTTATATTTTCCCATAGGCGGATCCAGAAGGGGGTGCAGGGGTGCACACCCACCCCCCTTTGTCCTGAAGGTTTATTAAATGACCATTGAAACTCGGATGAAAATGACATGTGCACCCTCCCTTTTCTCAATAGTATGCACACACACACACC